CCCCCCCCAGCTTTGCCCTGTGAGCCTGTACTGCAGAAGCTATAATTAGAGATACAGACAGCAGCTGGTGTTAACATTGGACTGGACTGCTTTAAATGTAGGGCACACAGAGAGGGCACAACACACACAAACACACGTGTTCTTTCTTCTGTAAGATGTATCACAAAAAGTTAGGCCAACACTGTATGTTGAGTCTTTTTGGATCGGGTAGGGGGGTCATTTGTAACTGAGGAGGAAAAGTGGGCTATCCACCAACTGGAAGGTTGGTGGTTTAATTATGGACTCCCTAGTCTGCATACTGAAGACAGGACTTCAGCTTAAACTCAGCTTTATTGCCAAAAACTGTAACAGCGAACAAAGATGCACAAAGCAAGGTAGGAACAGCATTAACTGGAAGCTATGACTCAACAAACAGCATAGAGGGAGATCGCAGCAAGAGACAGAGGGAAACTAAAGGCTTAAATACACCCAAGGTAATCAGGAAAATGGATCACACCAGGGACACAGGTGAATTACATCAGACTAAGGAGACAGGGGAAGCAAAACTGAATAGAACGCACACAGGATGACAGACTATCAAATTAAGACAAGAAATAAACATAGACAGAGACCCAGACTCCAAATATACAAATTTGCCACAGGGAGGAGTAAACAAACAGACAGGAGACAAGATTCACCAGACAGCCACAGAAACAGGGCACAGAGAGCAGACACGGAGACACGACTGGAGAAACAGACTGAGTCCAGTGGAAATGACTGACAAATGAGACAAGGACAGACACGTGAACATAGCCTGCCAAAGTAAAACAGGAAATAACCGAACAAGGAAACAGAAATGCAGACTTAACACTGAGAAAAAGGTAAACAAATACTGAGCTGGAGACCAGACACAGACAGACAGAGAAACCAACACAGAGGCCAAACTGACGCGCAGAGATGAGACCAAGATAGACGAAAGAGAATTAACTAAATCAAACAAGGAACTTAGAACTAGGAATATAAATACAAAAACTCAGGTACTAGGGAAATTGAACACGATACTTGATTCACAAGAGCTTGAAAATCAGTTCGTTTTTACAACTCCAAGAGTATGAATCCCGAGTCCATAACAAAACTTCAGAGTTCAAACTCTGGGACTAATTTCTACCACTTTACAAACAGCATCATGAAAAAATGTTACTCAGTTTATAAAAAAAATTTCCGCACAAATTATTCTGCAATCCCAAATCCCCCCACAAAAAAGTTGGGGCGCTGTGTAAATAAAAACAGAATGCAATGATTTACAAATCGAATAAAGTTATGTTTTATTGACAAATGAATATAAAAAACAAATATTATCAACAAAAAATGATGGGTGCTAATAAACGCTGGAAAAGTAGGGAGGACGAAAAGGAAACAGCTGGAGGAATATTTTGCAACTAATTATCTTAACTATAAAATGAGCATCTTGGAGAGGCAAAGTTTCTTAGAAGTAAAGTCAGGCAGAGGTTCACCAATCTGCAAAAAAACTGCATCTGCAAATTGGGGAAATAAAATTTCTGAACATAAAATTATGAAGACTTCCAGTATCCCATCATGTATAATATATAGAATAGAATAGAATAGAATTCAACTTTATTGTCA